TTGAATATCTATCCATTGTATGAATCAGACTGCGTAAAGTGCATCAAAAACTCAGACGGTCAATGTAAATCTATGGAGTAAACACACAGCTGGCATCGACCCGGTGTGTCACATATTTAGGAGAATTTGATAAAAAAAGTGTGAGCAGAGATCATGAGCGTCGGTGGTGTAACGGTTAGCATAGTTGCCTTCCAAGCAATTAGACCGGGTTCGACTCCCGGCTGACGCAGTGTATTTTTTGTTTAGTTGGGGGAATTAGATAATTCAACTGGGAAAGCAATTATGAATAAGTATTCGAGCTTTGACTTTATAGAATTGTAATCTATATATATAATTCTCTTCTGGGAGCCGCTAGAAAACAAGCTGTAAACGCGACCCCTACCCCCCCCCCCACCCCTACATGATCTTAGTGAGCTGTGTTCACTCTAAATGTTTACAAGCAGAGCCAACGATTTTAAACGTAAGGGGGGTGGGGGTGGGAGGGGGGAAGGAAGGGGGGGTTATGGTCCTTAACGAGCTACTTACAGTTTTTTAAAGAAATATTTTCAGTGGCAGCGTTGGTACTGTCGAATTCACAAATTATGAATTACTGAAAAGTAGAAAATAAAACAACTAAATAGCGGCGTATGTTATGCCGCGGGCCGGCTCGTATATATAATTCTCCTCTGCGAGCCGTTAGAAAACAAGCTGCAAGCGCCTCCTTACAGTCCCCTCTCTTTTTCTCTACCACCCCACCCCCACCCCCACATTGTCTGCTGAGCTGTGGTCACGTTAATGTTTACAAACCGTACAGCCAGGTTTAGTGACGGGTATTAGGGGCAGATAATTTAGTTTGAACCGACTTTAAACTTACAGGAGGTAACTAAGAGGAGGCTGCTTTCACGGGGGGGGGGGTTCGGGGTTAGGGTAAAGGAGGGGGGTTAGTGTTTTAAAGCAAATATTTTCAGTGACAGCCTTGGTACTGTCGAATTCACAAATTATGAATTACTGAAAAGTAGAAAATAAATCAACTAAATAGCGGCGTATGATACGCCGCGGGTCGGCTCGTTTGATATATTCTTGCAACAAAACTCGAATTCTGCTTTTTTCTAGGTGAGTGGTAATAGGCCTACTCTGTAAACTATTTGAGATATGAAACATTTTCGATGATAGTTGCTGATTAGTGGTGCTATAGCCGGAGTGTTAGCTGACGGAAAGCCGGTTGTTGGGTTACACGAACACCAAAGTAGCCTACCTGATTTCATTATGGGTTTAGTTGAAGCAGGAAGGTATATTTTCGTAATTTTTTTTTTTAATTTATGTTTGATATTGGAAACGCATTTTAATAAGGTTCTAGGGTTTTTTTTTTTTTGGAATTTCGATTCAGGGATGTTGGCTTTTTACATTTGAATTTATGTTTGACGATTGACCATTGCACCTTGAACTTTCAAACAGCTGATTTTAGAGTTGATCACCGGAAAATATGTTTTCAGACAGTAGGCCGTTGACAATAGATTTTACAACAGTGAGCCATCATGTATTGGATTAAATAGCCGATTTTAATCTGTTTTCATTTTACCATAGACAGTTGTCCAATTGAAATCCTCTGGTAATATTAATCCCATTATATTAATCTGGCGAAAATCAACAATTTTTATAGCGAGGTCTGTGTTAGGATTAAAGAACGAACAACACCAGATGGGGTCATGTTCAACACGAAAAGCGCAGCTGTTGAATAGTGGCGACAGATTTTATTTCTTAGGTTTAAACAGAATAAAAGTAATAGAAACTGTAAGGGTTGTACAAGCGTCGGTGGTGTAACGGTTAGCATAGTTGCCTTCCAAGCAATTAGACCGGGTTCGACTCCCGGCTGACGCACTTTTTTTTCCCACTGTTAATCTTCTAACGATTATTGTTAAATACATCGTTTATGCAGAGATCTAAATTGGAGTTATTATAAACAAGTCGTGAGATATCTCTAAATTAGAACAAGTTGTGTTAAACTTAGTTACCTTAACAATATTATAATAGCCTAGTCTTACCGGTACTTAATTTGATTCTATTATTAGTAAACAAATTTTGGTTCTCTTGGTATTTTAAAATCTTGGAGCACCATGGTTTTTTTTTGTTATCAAATTGGAATCATTTCCCAACAATTCATTTAGTTCGAAAATTCATATCTTACCGAATCTTACAAGCTCTATTGGTGTCGAATGTTACTCCCCAAAAAATAGTTTTTCATAAGACTGCGGATAGCCTAATAGCTTTGAGTAGCTTGTGGAGAATAGTTTTTTTAGTCGAGTTTATAGAAAGTGATTTTTTCATGAGTCGAAAAAAAAAATTTAAAATAATTTTTAAAAAATTTAAAAAAAAAAAAAAAATATATATATATATATATATATATATATATATATATATATATATATATATATATATATATATATATATATATATTTATATTTATATATTTATATATATGCACTGACATCCGGGTAAGTAGGGATGGCTAAAAATAAAATAAAAAATGTTTTAAGAGACAGAAGCAGTGGATGAGTTGAAAGAATCAAGACGTTTGTGTCTAGACTGCGTAGGTCCGGTAGTGACATCTCATAGAGTGCCTGTGTGTATATCCTCGTCCATTGAGTCCAATAACAAAACTAATCAACAACATAGCAAAGGTGGATGCACTCTATATATATATATATATATATATATATATACATAAACATATAAACATATATATATACATAAACATAAACATTGTATATTTTTTAAAAACAATGTAATAACGTATCATCGCATCATTTCATTCTGTAATTAGGATAACAAATTTCTGAAAGATTAAATTCGTACTTGTTACTTCCCATTAATTATTTTAAAATATTCAAGGGAATGTAACTGTAACTACATGCCAAAAAGTGGTTACAAATTTTTAAAATTCAAAACTAACAAAACAAAATTGATTTTACCGTTGTTAATTATTTTTTCTACATTTGATTAATTAATTTTTTGCAAAGTGTTTGACCATGTTTATATTACACCGAAACAAGAACAAAAGTTCTAAACATGAAAACGGTATTATTTATTAAATGATTTTTCTGGTATATTAGTAATGTGTCATTAACTTTTATTCACAACGCTTTTTGTTTTTACGGCCTGTAAAAAAAAAATTTAAAAATAAAAATTAAAAAAAAAGTTTTACGTCCTATAAGCAAGTATGTTTACTTAAAGCGAGAGCTGTAGTGAAAGAAATACGACTCGAGTTTTTTCATGTAAACAATGGCCCTATCCGACACCCGACCTCGCTGCGCCACTGTGAAACGGTACTCCATTTATCGTGTTCACAGACACACGGACACACACACACAAACGCACAAAGAGAAAGAGAGACATACAGACAACATTGCAAAACTATGTTTTTTCCTACTCAAAGAGGAATAAAACGTCGAGATTTGTGAAAATTTTGATTTCTGTTTTAACACGATTACAATACTTCTTCTATACTTCGTATACGAAAATTTTTTTAAAAAAATGAAATAATTTAAATATAATTTTTAAAAAAATTTAAAATATCAAAGATTTTCGTAATTTTTTAACTGGATTTGAAGTTTAATTTTTAGCATTTTTGTTCTTTACTTTTTTTTTACTTTCTCGTACATTCGAAGTATAGAGAAAGTCTTGTAATCGTGCAAAAAAAAAAATAATCGAGATTTTTACAAATCTCGACGTTTTACACCACACTGATACGGAAAAACATAACTTTGCAATCTTGTCTGTATGTCTGTGTGTCTGTGTGTGTGTCTGTCTGTGTGTGTGTAAACACGATAACTTGAGTACCGTTACAGCTAGGTTGATGAAATTTCATATATAAGTATTTTATAAAAATCGTAGATCCGTATCAACTTTTGAGCGATTTCCGATAACCGGAAGTGGTACTTTTTCTACTTTGAATTTTTCAAGAGCCTATAACTTGAGTACTATTACAGATAGATAAATGAAATTTCACAAGTAAAAGATCTAATTATCTACCTTTTATCAAATTTTGAGTAATTTCCGTTGACCGGAAGTACTGATTTACGCTATTTCCGATTTCTCAAAAAAACGCATGTAAATGTATAAAGTACTAATAATATTGCGCACCATTATGCACATTTTGTTTTGGCGTTCGCTTGGTGCGCAATTCTTTTTTCTATGAGATTCTATTCTATTTTTAAAAGTTTAAGTAATTAAAAATCATGTCTATATTTCAAGTTATATAAGAATATTCGAGAAAGTTTAGGGGAGATTACTCCCGGTTTATTTATTTTACAGGATCGGCCAATCTTTCTATGTTCTCAGATATTATAACTGAAACGTGTCTTTCTGGTCTAAATAAATTCAGAAATGTTCATACTAAGGCCCACAACTACATGTCTCAAACACAATCTTCAGAGGAAACAAATTATTTGAACAGTTTTTTAACTGATTTTCGTCACACCGTTCAAAATCTTTCTGGGTAGATTCATTCAGCATGCATAGCCGCGGTCTTAAAGCGAGCCTATTAATCAACGGAAGTCCTTCAAATGACGTCGTAGAATTCCGTGGTTGCCCAATCCTCAAAATTTTCTAATGTTAATATTTTACAATCGTGTCTTATTTTCAATCATGAACAATTTTTAAACAAAAAAAAAACAAAATTAACAAAAATGCCTCGCTTCATGGTATTAATCAAACTTTATAGATTAACTAATTTGTGTGCTGTGTTTGACGAGTATTTATTATTTTCAACATTAGCGTTGATGGGAAATAGGGTTAAGTTGGTTCTTGCTTCTAAAACAAATAATTGAGATGTTTACAATCAGATTCTGAGTTTATAATGTGTGCATGTTCGTGCTTGCTTTCTTTTATTATAAACCACACTCACATGGAGCACACTGTATAATTCCCTTGAGCTGCACGGACTCGAACCTTGGTCTTTCAGCAATGAAACTATGTGTCCAGTCACGTTTTACTCACTTTTGCTTATAAACATGTCGGCTGTTCTATTGGCTGTTCTGTCGGCTGTTCTGTCGGCTGTTCTGTTGACTGTTCTGTCGGCTGTTCTGTCGGCTGTTCTGTTGACTGTTCCGTTGGCTGTTCTGTCGGCTGTTCTGTTGACTGTTCCGTTGGCTGTTCTGTCGGCTGTTCTGTTGACTGTTTTGTCGGCGGTTCTGTTGACTGTTTTGTCGGCTGTTCTGTTGGCTGTTCTGTCGGCCTTTCTGTCGGCTGTTCTGTCGGCTGTTCTGTCGGCTGTTCTGTCGGCTGTTCTGTCGGCTGTTATGTCGGCTGTTCTGTCGGCTGTTCTGTTGGCTGTTCTGTTGGCTGTTCTGTTGACTGTTCTGTTGACTGTTCTGTCGACTGTTCTGTTGACTGTTCTGTCGGCTGTTCTGCCGGCTGTTCTGTTGACTGTTCTGTCGGCTGTTCTGTCGGCTGTTCTGTCGGCTGTTCTGTTGGCTGTTCTGTTGACTGTTCTGTCGACTGTTCTGTTGACTGTTCTGTTGGCTGTTCTGTCGGCTGTTCTGCCGGCTGTTCTGTTGACTGTTCTGTCGGCTGTTCTGTCGGCTGTTCTGCCGGCTGTTCTGTTGACTGTTCTGTCGGCTGTTCTGTAGTCTGTTCTGTCGGCTGTTCTGTTGGCTGTTCTGTTGGCTGTTCTGTTGACTGTTCTGTCGACTGTTCTGTTGACTGTTCTGTCGGCTGTTCTGCCGGCTGTTCTGTTGACTGTTCTGTCGGCTGTTCTGTCGGCTGTTCTGTTGGCTGTTCTGTTGGCTGTTCTGTTGACTGTTCTGTCGACTGTTCTGTTGACTGTTCTGTTGGCTGTTCTGTCGGCTGTTGTGCCGGCTGTTCTGTTGACTGTTCTGTCGGCTGTTCTGTCGGCTGTTCTGTTGGCTGTTCTGTTGACTGTTCTGTCGGCTGTTCTGCCGGCTGTTCTGTTGGCTGTTCTGTTGGCTGTTCTGTCGGCTGTTCTGTTGGCTGTTCTGTCGGCTGTTCAGTCAGTAGTTCTGTTGGCTGTTCTGTCGGCTGTTCTGGCCAGCCAGCGTGCAATCAGACAGCGATAATCAACTCACTGATAAAATTGTTGCCCGAAGTTTTTATTTCAAACCCATTTATCACCTTATCACAAGAGCCTAGCCACCCCAGCCCCCCCGCCCCTCCCCCACCAAAAAAATCAACCTGGCATTTTTTTTAAAATGATAAACCGCAGCCTTGGCGATTAGATAGCCTTGTGAGATTTATATCTACAGTCAAATTTGCCAATGACTGAATTGTTACAATTTATCTTTTGAGCGAAGCACAATTTAAACTTTAATTCTATGCTCTGAAAACTATAAATTCGTTAAGTTTTCTAAATAACGTTTTCAAATGTTACTGAAATACAAAAATACTTTAATGGTTAATTCCCCTGCTTCAGCTCTGAGATAGGAAACAATGCGATGTATTAGTGTTAAATCTGGAGTGATCAGCTGACGTGTATTGGTGCTAGAGATTTCAGTATCTGCATCCTGATGATGTCTGTCCGGTATTAAAAGTATGGCTCTAGCCAGTTATGGCTCCTTGAGAGAAGGGCAGGACAGGAAGTGAATGTCAGAGGGTTCTAGACTAATGTCAGTCTTGTAGTGATGTAGTTAAGGGGGGGGGGGGGGGGGAATGTCAGACCTTATGGTTCTAGACTAATGTCAGTCTTGTAGTGATGTAGTTGGGGGGGGGGGTGAATGTCAGAGGGTTCTAGACTAATGTCAGTCTTGTAGTGATGTAGTTGTGGTGGGGGGGGGGGGGTGAATGTCAAACCTCAGGGTTCTAGGCTAAGGGCAGTCGTGCAGTGATATAAAGGTGGGGTGAGGGGGGGGGGGGTCAGACCTCAGGGTTTTAGACTAATGCCAGTCAGTTGTGTAGTGATGTAGTTCAGTGGGGGGGGGGGGGGAGGCAACAGCGCTTATCGGCTCTGATGTCACATCAAACTAATGGAAACTTCCTTGCACATAAATGGTGTCGTGTGATTAAAACTTTGCATTTAACTTGTGAGGGTATGAGGGTAGGAGTTGATTGAATATACCTTAAGGCATTAGTAATTTTAATAATTTTGTTTTAAATTTTCATGACAAGAAGCTGTAAAGCGAGGCGGCGTGGTGAAGTGTTAGACAACGAGGTATCTAACCAAGAAGTCTAGAGTTCGATTCTCTGAATCCACCCAGCTCTCACAACAGTTCAACATAATGTCTGTGTAGATGAACGTTAGCATAAACATATACTATTACACCTGATCACATGTATATCTCACATTCATATTACTGTATTTTTAAATATCACACACACATGTTAACATATCGTTAGACCTAATCACGTGTACATCTCACATACATATTAATGTATTTTTAGATATCACACACATATTAATGTATTTTTAGATATTACACACACACATATTAACATATCGTTATACATAATCACGTGTACATCTCTTGCACATAATTGTGTGCACGGTCAAGTCTGCACCAGTACTGCACAAGACTTAAGAACAGCTGCATTGACAACATCCACCTTTCTACCCCTATTCACTCAGGCGTGTGCCCCCCCCCCCACCCCACCCCCACACCACCCCCTCCCCACACCACAACCCGAATATCCCATCTCGAAGCTAATCTATTCGTCTGATTTTGACATCAGCCTGCGAGTCTGATAAATTTGTTATATATTGAGACACTCCACTTCAAACTCCCAGCATGCCTCGCTACAGGAAATGGAAGCATTTGCTTATTGTTGAAACTGTACCTCGATAGATCTTCCCTCACCTAATCAGGAAACCTTTTAAAAGCTCACGATAAGGAAATAAGCAATTATTCGCATGGCGTCATTCGACTTCACTTTACGACTGTTTATGATATCTCATTAAATAATCTTTATGAATACGATATGTAGAATAAAATGTGCTCTTTTGCTTGCATTTATCGAAAATATAAGAAATGTTATTTTTAACATCGATGGGAAAATCGCGACTTATCTTAACAGAAATATCAAGTCCATGAAGACTTCAAATAGATTCTCGTTAGTTGGTACTTGAAATTATGTGAAGGTGCGTCTGATTTTATGTTAACAGTAAAACCAAGATGGCGACAGATAGGTTAGATCAAAGCAGACGTAGATAACAGAGATGGGGAAATTATCGGGTTAGCGAGCGTGCTGTCTGTATACCACACTGTCTTGTTCACAGTTATTATTTTCCATATGTTATTGTCAACGTCACGTCGTGTGAGGAACTTCATAAAGAGTGTAGGACGTCAAATAGATTAGTGGTCAAATACAGTAGGGGACGTCATATAGAATAGTGGAGTCAAATAGTGTAGGGATGATACGTAGCGTAGTGGACGTCATGTAAAGTAGTGGATTTCATTTCGTGTAGTGAACGTGATATAGTTTTCGGATGTCATATAAGACATAAAGGCTTTGGATGTCATATAAGACATAAAGGCTTTGAATGTCATATAAGACATAAAGGTTTTGGATGTCGTATATGTCATAAAGTTTTCGGATGTGATATAAGTCATATAGTTTTTAGATGTCATATAAGTCATAAAGTTTTCGGATGTCATATAAGTCATTAAGTTTTTGGATGTCATATAAGTCATAAAGTTTTTTGAACGCCATCAGACAAAACGATAACTGGCTTTAAAGTAGGATTCCAATTCGCGATTTTCGTTGACCACACTTCATGTTTTTTTTTATCAAAACACTCAATTAAAAATTAATTTCATTTAATTAAAAAAAATTAGCATCACAACAATGGATACTGGGTATTAAGCTCCATGAGACGAGTTAAGCTCCATGAGACGAGTTAAGCTCCATGAGACGAGTTAAGCTCCATGAGACGGGTTAAGCTCCATGAGACGAGTTAAGCTCCATGAGACGAGTTAAGCTCCATGAGACGGGTTAAGCTCAGTGAGACGGTTTACTTTAATCTCCCTGAGACAAGCTGAGCTCAGATTTCACAAGTCTAATACAATGTCCTACAATCTGTGGTCTAATCTAACCCTCAGTCTAATGTCCAAATTTAGTAACCAGTCTAATCTCCCACACCCGTCCCACACTACGTGCAACAGATTCCCCACCTTGATGTCCAGTACATAGTAAGGTAAATCTGAGATCAGGTGTATCGGAAATTAGAGGTCAACACTAACTTTAAACCTAACGTCTTAACTTAATCGCAAAGTTAAAGTTCACGCCTAATCTAAACTAAATATCAGCATCTACTAACCTAATTAACAACCCAACGTTTAATCCAACGTATAACATAAGGTTCAATCTAATGTTCAACCTTACGTTTCACTAATTTTAAAACTATAACATAGCTTCCAACATAAGGCCAAATTGACCAACATAATATGCAACCTTATGTAAAGCCTAATGGAAAAATCTAATGGACAAACTTATTGTAAAATCTAATGTAAAACCTAATGTAAAACCTAATGTAAAACCTAATGTAAACTCCAACCTCCAACCCCAATATCCAATCTAAAAATATACCCCAATACGACCTGCAATATCCGAAAACGCGAGGACGAAAGTGAAGGTCACATTGCTTTAGCACCACCCACGGGGCATTACTCCAACATAAAGAGCCTCTACCGAAAGCTATTTTTCTCCTAGATCCAACTCATAGCGTCCCCTGGCGGTGTAGTAATTTGTCGGATGTTCCCCATAACACAACCCATAACACAACCCATAACACAACCCATAACACAACCCATAACAGAATCCATAGACCAGACCTAAAGGACCTTATGTAAAATGTTAGCCAAGACCTATAGCACCGTGTGTAAAATGTTTAATCAGACCTATAGCACCGTTTGTAAAATGTTAGCCCAGACCTATAGCACCGTGTGTAAAATGTTTAATCAGACCTATAGCACCGTATATAAAATGTTAAATCTGACCTATAGCACCGTATGTAAAATGTTTAATCAGACCTATAGCACCGTTTGTAAAATGTTAGCCCAGACCTATAGCACCGTATGTAAAATGTTTAATCAGACCTATAGCACCGTTTGTAAAATGTTAGCCCAGACCTATAGCACCGTATGTAAAATGTTTAATCAGACCTATAGCACCGTTTGTAAAATGTTAGCCCAGACCTATAGCACCGTATGTAAAATGTTTAATCAGACCTATAGCACCGTATGTAAAATGTTTAATCAGACCTATAGCACCGTATGTAAAATGTTAGCCCAGACCTATAGCACCGTATGTAAAATGTTAGCCCAGAACTATAGCACCGTATGTAAAAAGTTAGCCCAGAACTATAGCGCCGTATGTAAAATGTTAGCCCAGACCTATAGCACCGTATGTAAAATGTTAGCCCAGACCTATAGCACCGTGTGTAAAATGTTAGCCCAGACGTATAGCACCGTATATAAAATGTTAAATCTGACCTATAGCACCGTATGTAAAATGTTAGCCCAGACCTATAGCACCGTATGTAAAATGTTAGCCCAGACCTATAGCACCGTATGTAAAATGTTAAATCTGACCTATAGCACCGTATGTAAAAAGTTAGCCCAGGCGTATAGCACCGTATATAAAATGTTAAATCTGACCTATAGCACCGTATGTAAAATGTTAGCCCAGACCTATAGCACCGTGTGTAAAATGTTAGCCCAGACGTATAGCACCGTATATAAAATGTTAGCCCAGACCTATAGCACCGTGTGTAAAATGTTAGCCCAGACGTATAGCACCGTATATACAATGTTAAATCTGACCTATAGCACCGTATGTAAAATGTTTAATCCGACCTATAGCACCGTATGTAAAATGTTAGCCCAGACCTATAGCACCGTATGTAAAATGTTAGCCCAGACGTATAGCACCGTATATAAAATGTTAGCCCAGACCTATAGCACCGTATATAAAATGTTAGCCCAGACCTATAGCACCGTGTGTAAAATGTTAGCCCAGACGTATAGCACCGTATTTAAAATGTTAAATCAGACCTATAGCACCGTATGTAAAATGTTTAATCAGACCTATAGCACCGTATGTAAAATGTTAGCCCAGACCTATAGCACCGTATGTAAAATGTTTAATCAGACCTATAGCACCGTATGTAAAATGTTAGCCCAGACCTATAGCACCGTATGTAAAATGCCAGCACGAAGCCTGTCAAAGAGCCCCACTTGCTGCCAATGAAGCCCGCAGACGTCTGACAGAAACCCGCCTGTGTAAATGTGCCAACAGATTTTTTGTGTGAAATTTAAAAATAAAACCCACGTTTTGTTTCGCTGGCTTCTCTTCCGTGACTGATTTTCACTGCGCCAATTAATCAGTTTGTTATCCGACGATAGCATTGCTTCATGTGGGGAGGGCTACACCCCACCACAAAACTACCTCTTGCCTGGTGGGGGAGGGGCGGGATTTCTGAAGGCTTCTGCATGTGAGGTACTGGTTAGCATCTGAATGATTGCTTATGGTCATATAAAGTTATTAACCAATGTGTCATTGCTGTAAAATTTTACCGTGTTAAATGTATTATTAATCTTCCTATAAAAAAAATTGATAGCAAACATTAACACCCAAAAAAATTCCCCTGCTGTCATTATTAAGTCCTTTGAAAAAGTTCAATAGAAGTAATGAACAAAATGTAACCTCCAGGGGTATAAAAATTCAAATCACGTCCCATCCTGAAGTCTTCCTCAGCAATGAACAGAGCGGTTATCTTTTCATTATAATCAAAGAAGAATATTATTAAAAGACATGTCCATATTGGAAGTTATATAACGGTATAAAACACTGGGATTAAGGAAAGTTGGGGAGGGGTTCACAATTTGGGAGAGATGGGGAAGGATCTTAGTGATTAGTATAGATAGACTATTGGTTTCATATTTAAATGCGGGTTTCTTATTCATAATTTCTAACGATAAAGTATCTGACTTAAAATGAGATAACTAGATTTGTTTTTTTTTGTTCTTTTATACTTGGGATGTGGGGTCGGTGGTGGGTGTTTGACTTAACAGACAAGTTTGGTATCAGATAGCTAAAGCAGGATGACAGTCAGACATATCAAATCACAAACCCTGATTGGGGGTTAGACAAAAGTCAGACAGCAAACAAAATGTCGGCTTTCTCTCAGTGAGAGTACTTGGAACATTGGCATGGTTTAGGATTTTTTTTAAAAATACTACTCAATCAAACACAGTGCACTTAAGAGAATTTACGTATTTCGCTGTAAGGGTAAGTGTGTGCATTTGTTTAAGAAGGGAATGTGCAGCTTCAAACACAAATCGTTTGCGATCTCGAATCTTGGATTCGAACTCGTGACTTTCGGGGTTAGCATTCGTGTGTCTACCTTTGGACCACGCCGACCCGTATGATAACATGGACTTTAAACTATTTAAAGAGAATTAAACTTTTCTATCTAAGAAATGTATGGTTTCGTTGTCTTACTATTTCATTGGACCACGCCGACCCGTATAACAACATGGACTTAAAACTATTTAAAGAGAATTAAACTTTTCTATCTAAGAAATGTATGGTTTTGTTGTCTTACTATTTCATTGGACCACGCCGACCCGTATAACAACATGGACTTAAAACTATTTAAAGAGAATTAAACTTTTCTATCTAAGAAATGTATTCTTTTGTTGTCTTACTTTGTCTAAACTTAGAACAGTGTCAGCTTCCGGCTTTGTAAAACATCCAAAACTGCAACGCTTCGATCAGTGGTTCTTAACATTTTTGGAAATACCGAATCCCACCAGCTTCAACTTCATAGAACTGCATTCACTGAACACTTCCTAATTGTTTAGTCGTCCGCACTGACATATTCTGATCGTGAATCATGTGATGCAGTAGTTTCTAGACCTCCGCCGAGCTTCTGAGACCGACTTACCGAACCCTTAAGGGTTCGATCGAACACAGGATAAGAATTACTGACTTAGATACTACGAGCCGACCCGCCACTGAAAATATTTGCTTTAAAACACTATCAGTAGGCCGTTAAGGACGATACTACCCCCACCCTCCTTTCCCCCAACCCCTACCCTACCTCTCCCCCCCCCCCCCCCCTCCCCCGTGAAAGCAGCCTCCTCTAAATTACCTCCCCTAAGTTTAAAATCGTTTCAAACTAAATTATCTGCCCCTAATAGCCGTCACTAAACCCGACTCTACGATTGTAAACATTTAGCAGTGAACCACAGCTCACCAGACCATGTAGGGGTGGGGTGGTAGGGAGCGCGCGTACAGCTTGCTTTCTAGCGTCCCCTAAGAAGAGAATTATATATATAGATGATCTTTGAGCTTCAATTTTCCCACGTTTTCTTTAACTTGCTTTAGCGTCTGTTTGTTCGTTTGTTTGTTTGGTTCTCCAATCAAATCTTGCGATCAATATTTCGGGCACTTCCCAGTTAGCTAGCGCGCTGAAATTTTCAGGGAAGCTTTGTTTCCGATGACAATAGAATATTCAATTGTTATTATTACTAAATTGATCCATGGAAACATTTTATTGATCATTTTAGACCTCTGTATATTTGTACAAAAAACGTGGGAAAAAGGGACATAACCCAGTAATTGTAATTTGATGAAAACACGAGTGATCGCTTGCATTATTGTGATGTATATCATTTGTTTTCTACTTTTTAGTTCAATCGGAAAACGTGGGTTTTTCATAACTTTTTTAATGATAATTATTTAATTTTGTCATCACGTATAAAAATATGGTATCGCCTGTTTCTATACATAAACCTCAAATATTAACCCACAAAGACAGAAGAGTACATTTCATGTGTACACATCAACATCAAAAGAAAACGTTTGTACACATCAGCATCAAAAGAAAACCTTTGTACACATCAACATCAAAAGAAAACGTTTGTACACTGTCACCAGGTACATGCCGTCAGTCACCACCTTCGGTCACGTGACCGTGGTGGCCAGCAACCTCTTCTCCCCCGTGATGTCGCCCCTGATGCCCTTCTCCCACTTCGGCGCCGCCTACACCACCATGGCCATCTCGCTGGAGCGGTGCTTGGCCGTGACGTCGCCGTTCCGCATCCTGCACTGGTTCACCTTCAAGCGGATCAAGGTAGGTCATCTCCCGCTTTTGTCTACGTCATCTCCCGCTTTTGTCTGCGTCATCTCCCGCTTTTGTCTACGTCATCTCAAACTTTTCTCAACGTCATAGCACACTTTTGTCTACGTCATCTCCCACTTTTGTCTCCGTCATCTCCCGCTTTTGTCTACGTCATCTTCCACTTTTGTCTACGTTATCTCAAACTTTTCTCAACGTCATAGCACACTTTTGTCTACGTCATCTCCCACTTTTGTCTCCGTCATCTCCCGCTTTTGTCTGCGTCATCTCCCACTTTTGTCTACGTCATCTCCCGCTTTTGTCACGTCATCTCCCACTTTTGTCTGCGTCATCTCCCACTTTTGTCTACGTCATCTCCCACTTTTGTCTGCGTCATCTCCCACTTTTTATCTAAGTCATATTTTAACTTTTCTCTATGTCTTCATCTTTTCTAACTTGCTCTGCTGTTTTAAGCAATATGAACTGAACACAACCGTAGTTAAACTCAATGGATGCCACGTTAAAACCATTGGGCTATGGACCAACAGAACCATAAAGCCATCAAACCATAAACAACAGCATCATAGAATTATTGGATCGTAGACCTATAGCATCATAATACCATTGGACCGTAGACCTATAGCACCATCGAACCATCCAACCAAAGCCAAACACACCATAGAACCGTTGGACCATGGGCCAACAACACTATAGAACCACTGAATCATAAACTTACAGGACCAAAAAAACTCTTGAACCATAGACCAACAACACTATGGAACCATCAGACCGTAGACCAACAACACCACTGAAGCATACCTAAACCCAATGCCCTGAGTATAATTTCCGCATGACTGCACAAACTTAACTCCATCGATCTCCGACCCCACCAAGTGTCACCCACACCGCTCGTGTCACCCACACCGCACGTGCAGAATAAAATTAGAACAGTCCCCAATCTATTTTTAACTCTTACATCTCACTCAATTGATAGCTACCTCCCACGCGTATTGGGTATGGGTGCTGTAGGAGACGTTAAAAATGTCAGGTGATCATTTTGGCCTTAACGGTCAATAGAGCTCGCTTGTTTATGTGGCCTGTCCTATAAAAGATAGTATGGTCATTATTATGTTTTCTCCTAACGTGAGTCAGATAAGTCTCATTGCTGATTAGTCTCAGGCACGTGAGCTTAACTCGAGAAGTATCAAGGACGTGAGTTTAACTCGTGAGCTTAACTCGAGAAGTATCAAGGACGTGAGTTTAACTCGTGAGCTTAACTCGAGAAGTATCAAGGACGTGAGTTTAACTCGTGAGCTTAACTCGAGAAGTATCAAGGACGTGAGTTTAACTCGTGAGCTTAGCTCGAGAAGTATCAAAGACGTGAGTTTAACTCGTGAGCTTAACTCGAGAAGTATCAAGGACGTGAGTAACTCGTGAGCTTAACTCGAGAAGTATCAAGGACGTGAGTTTAACTCGTGAGCTTAACTCGAGAAGTATCAAGGACGTGAGTTAAACTCGTGAGCTTAACTCGAGAAGTATCAAGGACGTGAGTTTAACTCGTGAGCTTAACTCGAGAAGTATCAAGGACGTGAGTTTAACTCGTGAGCTTAACTCGAGAAGTATCAAGGACGTGAGTTTAACTCGTGAGCTTAACTCGAGAAGTATCAAGAACGTGAGTTTAACTCGTGAGCTTAACTTGAGAAGTATAAAGGACGTGAGTTTAACTCGTGAGTCTAACTCGAGGCTGGGATCTGAACCCAAGACTTTCGGGTTAAAGAAGACATCGCTCAGTTTGATAATCCGCTGACCTGACGACGTGGTCAAGCTGTAGAACTTAAAAGCGTTAACACGTAGGTTGTTCTTTGTGCCTGTCATCGAGTCTATAGTTGGTCCAATGACCGCCCTACCAACCCCCCCCCACACACACACACACACTTCAATCCGCTTATATACCTCATGGTAGGACAAGCCTAGTGGAGACGAATCTGACAGTAGAAAGCGCCATCAAGCGGGCGAAAAGTTCGTGTTCCTACTTCCATTAATCAGACCTGCTGGTATAGATTGTGTCTGACGCCCCCCGGTCCATGGGGCAGGTGAAGTAGAACTGACCTGTTTCTGTGAATATCATTACTATGCCCAGCAGTATTTACTTTCGCTAAAGCGAGTTAGGTACCCATCAGAGCTGGGTGGACTCAGGGACGTTTTAGTGACACGAACCTGGAATTCGAACTCGAGACTTTCGGCTTAGCAGCAATATGCTCTGCCCATCAAAAAGTTATAGACAAATGTTTAAAACAAACTACTTTACAACCTATGACTGTGCCTTATTTTAAAATAATAACATGCCTTGCAGTCGTCCAAATATATAAACGTAGTATTAGTGTACAT